TCATGGCTGATAGAGATCCAGGAAAAATTTCCAGATGGTTTTGCTACTTTCATGGTACCCGTATCCGGATGCTACTCGAATAGCAAAGGGTTCTATGTTAATACCTTCTTACTCGAAGCACAAATAGTAGTTATGGCATCAATCGTTGTATAATAATTTACTGGTAGTTTACATTAGAAATGTTCATATCAGGCAACCATAGAGTTACAAGATAACCTCTGCACGACAATTATTGTTCAACCCAGCTTTTCTTGAATGCACATAGCGTCTCAATGAACTCTCCTTATAAGGCTTCCCTGCGCTTAGTAAAGTCTTAGTATAGAGTTATGCTCGCATATAAGCAACCATTCGTATAGTTGAAAGAGAAAGCAATGTGAACAGGCTCGGTTTATGACAATCAGCAGAAAAGGAATATGCTAAGAAAATTAGCATTAGCAAAACACATGCTTTCCTTTCATACTGTTTGCAGAACATATGGGCTATGCATGATTCATTGAGGACTTGGAAACCTGGAGGAAAGCAAAACCTATTGGACGGGTGGGCAGTGTAGATACGAAAAATGTACGTGGATAGATTATTCGCAGTTTGACTTTAGAAAAACCGGACCAAGTAGGTTTTTCTAACGCTTCGATAGTTTTGGATGTTCAATGGCACGATAAACACTATTCNCCCGCGCACAACCACTATGAGGCTCAGACCGACTCGACAATTCAATAGTCGGACCTCCACCTAAAATTTCAAGTCTACTGCATTGCAGATACACTAAAGAATTATGATATATCTGTGTAAGTTAAGCAAAGACAACAGTAATTGATAGAACGATGTGATGAATAGAATCAAGTAGCCAGCAATCAAGGATCATTGACGCATTTGGAGGGCATGCTCTGAATGTAGCAGATCCCTGCACTGTCTCTTCCTGAGTCCATCATATTTCTCAAACATACACCGCAAGACAGTGGCCTTTATAAGAGATACCTTCGATGCCTAGCACGCTCTCATTCGAAATCATTAGTTGAGGTGCATGAGTGAGAAATACAAAGAGGGACTTACCAGAAGTTCGAACCGAAAAGAGGATAACACAAAGGTTTCGAGATTGCAAGAACGTCTCGAGTGACCAGAAATTGACACACTCGCCAAAATCCTACCTTCATTCCAACACTTAACCCTTCCTTGTAATCGCGGATGAAGCCCACGGATTAACAAAGAAGATTCTGAACGTCTTCCTTAGCTACGTCTCAGGAGGAGAAAGCTCCAGTCAATCATCTAAAAAAGCGATTCTACGGCCCTTCTAGAACGCCAAATAACTTTAACCAAATTCTCAAGGATTACGAGGATGAACTACTCATCATTCAAGCTGTGAAGAATCAAGGCATAGAATTGCACCATACAACACCTTTCCACTGTGGAATGGAAGCTTCTATGATCGCCTCATCGAAACTATCAGAGTCTACTGTTTAAAGCAACCGGATGACGAACTCTTGATTATCACCGGCTTGCAACGCTCCTGAGTGGAATAGTGTCTGACCCGCCTAAACTTCAACTTCTAACATTGTAGGCTCTTCCCGCTCTGTTCGGCCTGTTGAATGCATTCAGAATGAGTTGGATATTACACTTCCAGCTTGACAGCTTCAACAACAGCTGCGAAGACGAAACCTACACTACAGGCCGAAATGACAGGTCTCAAGATCAGAAGGCAGGCAGCACAGGAAGACTGCAATGTTTATACGATCAAATAGAACGACATTGTACGAAAATATGAAGAGACTACCCCATACTTGGCAAGCGCTACTAGAACAGCATTGAAAAGACACAACAGTGACCTATTAAGAATTCCAAACTAATACACTACAGTGATGATATGACCAAACAACATAAATTATTTTGTGAAAACAACACTTACCTGCAGCGGTAACGGAGAATCAGCATGTTTGTTTGAACGAACATTCTCAAAAGCAGTAGGATTGCAGGAAGAATCATTACATGAAACAAATCTACAAATAAAACGCAGACACAAGCTACGAACAGTAAGGGGACATCCTCCACAAGTGAGGAAAGAAATGAGAACGCAGGACCCTTACGAATTGCCGGAAAATCTGGAAATGGTTAATAATGTTGATAAGAACGATTTTTTCAGGTGCCTATAATTTGCCTTACAACCCCTTGAGGAGTTTTTTCCCCTATAAAACAGAGTCTGAATCTAATGGAGTGTTACAAAAATTATTGTAAAATGATTTTGAGACGTTGGCTCGTCTGTCGTCATCTCATGTGCATGCCCAGTATAGGCAATAACGAAAGGTGTGACGACAGAGGCATGTCCACAGAAGTAGAGTCTGGCAGGCAAATTAACATCTTCTCGAACACTACAACCGTCTGTGCGGCCCAGTGAAGTATGTTTGCCTCACATTCAGGCTACGAATTACTCCATGGCCCAAGTCTAATAAATTTTGGAATTCTGAAGCTCAGTTGAGGATTCGTACCTGCTGTAATTATCTACTATCATTCAGGCGCTATTCTTAGCCATGAAAATGATTTCAAAAACCCAGCCAAGAACAACACTACCGTGCTCTTTTACTCGAAACCGCAAATCGTATGAAAAGACAGTCAGCCAGATTTTGAGAAGCAACAGATGATTAGTACTGCATGGTGATGAATGATGTTTAATTCAGCACCTAAATTGTAATCACACGCGGAGGCAAATTAAAATTTTTCCCGAACATTCAGAATCAAAAGAATTAGAATTGGAAAAAAAAATTAATTTTTTTTTGAGTCTTGAGTTATGTTCAAAAATGTTTTCGTTAGGACTTTGAGTATCGTTCCTACATCCAGCCGTTTCATATGATTGGTCACAGCTGTGGAACGACAGATCAAAATCTGTACAACTAATTTAAACCTTCGGAAAAAGATTTTTCGGTAAGAAGATATTTGGTGGTGCTGATTACGCACTGTCGAGAAAGGACAACATCTACGAGTTGATAACAGTTGAAGCGGTAAATGCTTGAAATAATTTCTTGATATAACAATTCTCATCTTTTCTGCTGCCTATCTATGATGAACATTCACTTCATTGGCTGGTGGTCTGCCCTCTGCAACGCTTGTCCCTCCCATAGGCTCCGCCCTGAGCGCTTTGGCTACAGTACCTGCAGTGGCGCATAAGTAACCGACCCAATATCTCGCTCAACCCTTCTAACCTTTTAACCAAACTGAATAGCTGATTTTCCTATAACAGCTGCAGATTCAAATGACTTTACCTTTGCTCCCATTTTCTCCGAATGTAACCCCGTGAAGTTTGATGTTCGAGTGGTATCTTTTCTGGCTCACTTAGATACCCTACGTTTTCAAACCGAGGCTAATCCCAATTGTGCAGGAAATAGACTATGGAACCTATGACTACGAACCTTAATTTAGGTTTCTCGCACAATGTTTTCTTTCCAAAACAAACAACCATAATTGTAGCAATAATTTGGGATGCGGTTGTACGACGAATTGCGGTTGCGCAATATCAAAGAGGAATTACTTGACCTCTCACAATCACACTGGTACCCTCACAGGCGTGAAATTGTCGAGCACATTCTTAGGCCGGAAGATTTCGGGTGGAGCATCTGTCCCACCTAGCTTTTCGTAATTGTCTGTTTAGCGAGCATATGTGATTGGTCCTTAAAAGTGGAGCTTCTTCGAATACTTCAATGGGACTTTGGCTCAATTAGTTGAATCGTAAAAATAAGAGAACTTCGTTGATGACAAACACTATTTATCCTTACCTTCAATATTATTGCGGGTAGTTTGCATTTTCGACCTGAGAATCGTATTTATGGTCTTATCACTTCACCGTTGCAATTTCGAAGGTTCAGTCGGTTACTCATCGGGCTTAATTATGTGATACGTCAGTTTTGATCCCTTTTGAACAAACTTTCATTTTTTTTTCCAATGAATACCTTCGAGTAGATGATTTTCTCAAAAAGTTGACTTTGTAAAGTCAAAAAGGACGTAATAATCCCACATTTTTAGACCACTTCATATCATGCTGCAAAGAAATTCAAAGGGGGTAATTGAACCTGATGCTGTTCAAAATACTGCCAAACCGGCAGAGATAGCAGTAATCCTCCATTAATCTCATCGTGCGAGAGGATCGGTGCTGTTGATTTAGCAGTAAAATACAGATTTCCCACAAAAACTGATGTTTCTATGTATCGTTAACTACCGTTTCCTACATATGCTTTGCCATTCCTGTTAACCAGACTCGTCTAATTTCAGATTTTTCTACAACGATGCTCTACGATGCGGGCTTCTTGTAATTGTTGACTTAAATGAGCCTCTCACCATTCCCCAAAGCAATGTCTTCCGTGTGTTCACTTGAGGATGTAAATCAGAGAATGAGCAGCGTTTCACCGACCATTTCGAGTTTCGTCGCAGGAGCATTTGGCATGTCTGTTGGTACGAATTTTGAATCAGTCTCATCATAACGTTGTTGCTGAATCCATGCGAGTTGAGCCCAATTTTTTTCGAGCGAACAACCAATTTTTTGCCTTATTTGTGCACAAAAATCTTCACTTTATGCTTCGTCTGTAGATTGAGCGCTTGTATTCTGGTCAAAGGCGATCATTTTGAACAATACCTCGAATAAATAGATGTTCCCTCACCTTAGTCAACCATTTAATGAAAATTCTCAAAGAAATGGGTCCTATTTATTTTTGACATGCGAATAAATACGGGCCATACTTTGTGGCCACCCTGTAATTCCTCGTCCAACGATTGATGCAACATTTTTGTAGTACAGGGCCCTATGAAAGAAGATGTACACGTAGTATTCTGAAATCTCAACTGATAACAGAGGCTCAAATGAGGTGAGAAGCTGAAAAGGAAATTTCGAAGCAATTGGCATTCGCACCGTCCAATATTTACCGTAAGCAATAAGGATGAGCGAAGATTTGTGCCCCTAAGTCATAGGAATAAGGAATTCGCGTTGAGGATTGCACTAGCTTGAATTCTGCAGAACAGTTGACCCAGGAGATAGGGAAGGGACTCGTTCGACCCAGTACACTAACCGTTTCCTTGGCTTCTCATATCACTGTTCCCTCTTCTTCTAGGACAATACCATGAACAAAAACAAACAACACAATTCTGTGCAATGGGAAGATCGTTTTCCCCAAAAGCCGTATGAAGGAATTCATGGTTTAATCTTTGCATCAACATGAGCCTAGTAACTCTAATTGGGCTCTTAGCATCACTCATAATTAGGTCTCGTCTTTCACACGTGCAGGCGCGAATAAAGGAGATTTTACGACTGAACGAGCTCTCGAAATGGGGCTGTAAAGTACACTGACTCCTTCACTCACCCGAAGTTGAGGATCTCTGGCTAAGATCACTACGCTAGAAAGCATACGGTCTCGAATTTTCGATTTTTCAGAAATATGTGCGGTGTGCCACTTAGCCATACTGGAACGATACTTCCTCGTCTTGGAACATCGCTCCTACCATCCTCATTGCTTGCGTTGTGCTCTTTGTCACTGCGGTTTATCCTACGAGCCTACTTGCTATGTGAAGGATGGTCTCGTTCTATGCCGTCGTGATTACACTGCGTAAGTTTCTTTCAATTATGCAATTGCATACAATCCTCGAGAATTTGACTGGTCACAACATGCGGCATCTATGGTTGCTTCCACACTTTTCATATGTGGGAGGAATGTTATTGCTCCCCCACCCCTATAGCTATGGCAAGGGATCGGAACGGAATCATTGGCTGATAATAGCTAGGTTTACGGTTTTCTTCTGTTCCGCCTGCGCGGCTGGCAGCAGTTGCGATTTCCAAACAAGCTGAGGCCCATACCTTTCGCTGTGGAATCTAAATGATGTATTATAACGAGAACTGTGGTCCACCGTTGGTTTGTCCCTCTTTTACCTGTGATTCTAGAAAATTCCGGAAAGCTTGTACAAAGTGTCGACTTCGACTGGAAAACGATGATGTGGTGATGAGAGCACGTGAAGCCGTTTTTCACGTGCATTGTTTTTCGTGTGTTGTGGGTTCTCAACTTATTCGAATTCTTCAAATAATTTTTAAGAAGATTTGTCAAATCATTTTGATCCCATACAGGTCTGCGACACTCCTCTGAACGCTGGCGACATTTTTACGATGACAGAACGCGGCGAAATTTTCTGTCAAAGTATGTCACAGTAACACCGAAAAGGCTTGGAGGAACTACTATGAATTTCTACTGCGTTTTAGATCACCGTGAGCTACCTCAACTGGAAGAACAAAGGATGGCTATCGATCGCAAGGATGATTCTGATGAGCAGGAAGGCGAGTAGTATTCTTTGATGACACGATTTGCTTCTCCTCCAATACCGTCATCACCCATGGATGCGGCTGCCCATTGCACTTGGGTCCCCTGCCGCGAGTGCCCTCATTAAAAGCTACCGTAGTCTATTGATTCTCACCGCCTCGAGAGATGTGCACAGAGCTTCATTGCGCTTGTCAGGGATTCCACTAAAGCCAACCATACAACAGACTGAGCCCATTAGTGAGGAAATAGAGAAAAAATAAAAAAAAGGGAGGAAAAGCGATGTTACATAGTGAAAACTGCGCTACGAATTTCCCTTTCTTCGTTGATGGATCAGGTATGAGAAACAAATCGTTTGAAGATAATTGTGTAAGCTCAACACAGTATAGCAGCTCTGCTATATGATAAACCAGGTGCAGGCGAGTGATACCACTGGATCTCAAGTTTCAAATGGGGCACCCGCGTTAATCCGTATGCAAATCATGAGTAACGAGCACCTGCGCGTACCGCAGCTAAAATCTGGCATGCGGAGACTCTGAGCCCCTGGGTGTGGAGGAAACAGGTCAGAAAGGTCACAGACAAGCAATTATCCCAAGACCAAGCGCTATTCAATTTGAAGTACTACCGTACTAACACTTGGTAGCAATCGGAATCGATATAAACGATCCCCCCCCC